TATATATATATATATATATATATATATTGTCTTTTAAAACATCTGTGTGGAAGTTTTGGAAAGATCTGAAGCCTGATGCAGATAAGGCTTTTTAATTTCATACTGTTAGCATCTGCTGCACATGCTAGCTTGGGTATTCCCCATATTTCCAGTGGGTCCCGTTAATTGTCATTATTACTCAAGCCTTGTGAAAAAGCCTTAACATGTCAAAAGGTATGTTTGAAAAGAAACAAAAAAAAAATAAAAAATCACAGCAGCCCATGGCTGTTAATAAACCACTCTATGTTTTATGCTGTGGTTCAGCTGCAGAGTGAAGTGGAGAAACCTTTGCTGAGCTTCAGGGAGAACTTTAAGAAAGACATGAAGAGGTTCGACCATCACATTGCGGACTTACGGAAGCAGCTCGCGACTCGCTATGTTTCGGTGGAAAAGGTAGACACACTTTCATGAGACAGTTCTCTCCCAGTAACTGAATGTCACGCGATTGAAATCCTGAATTAGCTAGCGCTGAATTGTATTTCGGGGTATCAGAGTAAAGATGTCTGAATACATTCCACTGCCACACTTTTCATATTCCGAGAGTAGTCTGAAAACGTTTCTTTTTTTCCTTTACATATTTGGGTGTCTATAACGCGTGTACCCTTTAGGCCCGTAAAGCTCTGGCTGACAGACAGAAGGAATTGGAGTTGAAAACTCAGCAGCTGGAGATCAAACTCAATACCAAGACTGAGGAAGACATCAAGAAAGCCCGCAGGAAATCCACTCAAGCAGGTCAGAGTCGCGGGAGGGGTGGGTCAAAAGTCACACTCGGCTGTTAACTTTTTATCAGGTAGACCAAAAAACTCAATTGCCACCTGCATCGCAAAACAACTGACCCGTGGCAGTTAGCATATAATAAATATGTCGATTCCATTCTTTTTGTCAGATCAGAACACGATTATTTCTGCAGCATACGTCCACTTTATCTTTAACGGAAGGCCTGCACCCCCTCGGAGGAAACGTTCGTATCTGTGATCTTGTTCTTTCAGTCACAACCCGCAGATCTAGATGAGGGTTGGAATGTCGATCGACCGGTGATTCGAGCGCATTGCCTTTCTGCATGACGACAGACTGATAAAGATACAATGTTTTAAGCCACATGTGAAACCGGGAACGATCAACAACGTCATGGGACGCATACATCAGCATTATCATCAAGCTAAAGTATTTTGTCAGATGCTAGTTACACAAAAGGGGAAGTCAACACAAACATTTCCTGACAAAAATATGTTCTGTGCACCTCCACTAGTTCAAACATGGGATTCTGATTCTGACAGTGTTTGTGGAATATGAATTAAGCGGCA